ACATCTTGCAGATGTGAGTGGTAACACGGCTTTATGGGAAGCAATCTCAACGAAGCATTATGCGATATTCAGAATCCTTTACCATTTCGCAGCCATATCGGATCCACACATTGCTGGAGATCTTCTGTGTTCAGCAGTGAAACAGAACAATGTGGAAGTAATGAAGGATCTTCTGAAACAGGGGATCAGTGTCGACACAGAAGACCACCATGGCTTCACAGCTTTGCAGGTCGCTATGGCCGAGAATCGAATGGATATGGTGAATCTCCTGACGATGAACGGTGCAGATGTTGTTGGTGTCAGGCCATTGGAGAATTTAAGAGTTGTGGAAAATGGAAAGGAAGAAGAAGAAGAACGAAAAAGAGTGGGTATCTACAGAGGGCATCCATTGGAGAGGAGAGAAAGAAGTTGCATTGAAGCTGGGAAGCTTATTCTCCTTCCTCCTTCACTAGATGACCTCAAGAAAATTGCAGGTAAAACACACAAATCTCATATTTCAAATTACACAAATTTTGGTGAACCTCTCAGTTTTGTACCGATTGGTTTTGCTGTGAAACCAAAAAAACAAAAAATTGGATTTAGATTTTGGTCTTTGTTGGCCGGTTCTAGCTATGGTATTGTTACATGAGAATTGGGACCAGACTCCAAACTCTAAACACCGACTTACGGTTTAGTTCTGGGTTTGGATCGGTTCTGATTGGTTTTGGTTTATTGTGCTGACAGTGTGTTGGTTTGTGTATAAAACAGGAAAAAAGTTTGGGTTTGACGGAAGTGAGACGATGGTGACAAATGAAGATGGAGAAGAGATTGACAGCATTGAAGTGATTAGAGATAATGACAAGCTTTACTTTGTGGAAGATAAAATAATTTAGAAAACGAAAGTAAGTACATATCAGATAAGATCTAGCGTGAAGAAAAGATGAAATTGATGAGGTAACTAAAAAACAAGATTAACAAAATGTATTTTCTGAGTGAAATTTATATGCGTCCATTTGAGTGAGATGTAAAATATATTATTGCTGAAGAAGTGTAAGGATCCATATATAGTGTAAGCAATAGCATCTTTATAAAGAGAAAAGTAATCTGGTAAACAAGTTTCTTATAAGAAAATAAGTTGGCAAGAAGGTATTCTGAATTATCTGATAGTAACAGATATAAAAAACAATAAATAAATAAATTTAGGTTAAAATATATTAAAAGGTTGTATCAACTTTTCAAAAAGGTTTATAGCTTTTTTTATATATGAAAATGTGACGTGACTGTCGTAGTATCAGTATCACATGGTCATGCAATACTACGGTTCGCAATTTATTAGTTGAATTATTGAGTTTAGGAATATTTATTTTGAGGTTGTACACGTTATTTTGTTTGCAAGGGAAGAAATTTATTCTTAGTATTATATGGAATAGTCGTTAAAGTGAAGAAAATGATCACGTGATCCTCACGTGAATTTATGATATTTCTTTGTCAACGAATCCATAAAATTTTCCGACTTTTTTGTACCACTTGAAGTTTGAACACACTCCAAACCACCTTACATTTCTAGTAATTCAGCTGCAGTTTTATCCCATATTGTAATTACTTATATAGTTAAACAACAAAGCATGAAAAAAAAATATCAAAATCAATAGTTTAATGCTCTTTAGACTTTTCTTAATCATGGTTGTATTGCAATTTTAATATTGCAAAACGAGGGAAGGTGGAGTGAAATTTTTAAATGACATTACAATTTGTTTTTTAAAAATCTAAATAGAGTGAAAATATCACTTATTTTTTATATAAATAGAACTTATTGGAGGGAAAAAATTAGAACTTATTTCTAATTTGAAAGTAATAAACGAATTTATAAATGATATATACGTTTGATTGAGCTGAGTTATTTTTTCTGAATTAAACATATTTGTGTAATAATAAAGTGATCAGATATAAAATGGCCAAAAACATGGAACCAAAATAACATTCAAAGTTTCAAACCATATCTTCAGATTTATGATTAGTCTGAAAAATACAACTCGTTGACAATAAACCTAAACAAAAATCCATGAACACGCTGTGTAAGGGACCTACAAAGAATTGCCTTCTCCGTTTATATTATATTAACTATATGCCCCATCGATAAGCAAATTTTAGTTCGCTGAGCATTTATCAATTAGAGTATCCAAATAACAATATATAAAAATAATATTAAAACTGTTTTCTTGTAAAGTCTAGTTAGCAGTAAAAAGTTGTGCTATAATTTATAGATTGCTCGTAAGTCGTAACATGGTTGCAGTGTACGGATGGGGAAATGAGAAAAACCTCAGATACCAAATCTATGTAACGTCGAAGTTGCGTGCAGAAGAGAGAGAGAGAGGGATAAAGAGTTTAGGGGTATTAATGACATTTCCCAATCAGAGACCCCATTGACATTAAATGAGTGTGAGATAATGTTATCCGTCACATGGCCTTACATTATCTATGTCTGTGTTCAGACACAAACGAACCAACAAAATCTCTTTGCTGTTATTCTTCTTTCTTTTTTTCCTCTCATCAATTTTATCTACTTATTTATAATAAATTTTATTTTTTGATTATTATCATCTTTTGTGCTGAGACTTTTTAAAAATCAGATTATGTAATATTTATTGAACTTTGTTCTCTGAGTTGGTTAGAAATTCTATTTCCTTTACAAAATATACGTATATTATTTACAGTATTTTCTTAGTTGCACAAAGAAGAGTTTCTTTTCTTAAACTAGTTAAAGTCACAGCCACAGGATAACCCGTGTAATATACTGGAGCAGAAAAGGCTAAACAATATGCGCAAAAAAGCGTTTAATACGTATGGGTCCCATTGAATCACGTCCCATTCTTTTATTATTTGTTTCCTTCTATTAATGGGCCTCGTTTGGGCCGTTTACTTCTTCTGGCTGCCTTTTATCGCTGATATTTGTATTTTCGTATATTTTGGGATTATTTTACTTTATTTAGTTGTTTATTATTCACATTTATATATTGGTATCGTAACACACAACATAACTTGGCAAGGTTGACAAAAGAAAGAAAGAAAACAAAAAACCAGAACTTACGAAGACAAAAGAACATAACAGAACAACATACAAAATTATTTGTGAACGACAGAAAAAATATCAACATATTTATATTACTGAATAAAATGTAAACGTCAGAAATTTATTGGTGGAAATTGAAAATAAAATTTAACAAGATTTACAATGTACTTATAGAATTAATCTTGTTTGATCGTCGTATAATTTATTTCTTTTTTGGTCAAAGATCGTCGTTTAATTTATTTTGGTAAAGTCACGTAATGTAACAATATGACTATTTTGTAAATATAAAATAGGAATCGCATATTTTTGTGACATTGATTTTGTCTTGGTTTTTTTCTTCTTGGGAGAAAAGATTCGACTGAAACTTGATAACAAAAGAAAAGCTTATATATACGTATAGAAAAATATGTATGGTCTTCGTAGACGTAGATGACTTGGTGCCTTGTATCTAGAATTGAACAAAATTCTTTGGTACTTCTTTTTGTTAAATAAACCCTTAAGTACTTGCTATTTTATTTTCCATGAAATCCGGTCGAGGAATGTGGTTCGTTCCTCTAATTATTATAGTCAAATTAAAGTATCATTGATAATCACATGATGGATAAATAATTACGATTTTGAAAATTTGAAACTTGATATCACCAACATCACAATGACATCATATTTGAATAAAGAGAAATAACTTTGTGTTCTAGTAATAATTAAGAAAACAAAATAAGACGAAAATGTAAAACGAAATGACTTTTGGGTTCTGGCCTTCAGGGTGATGATAACTGCAGAAGATCTTAAACATGAAAAAGAGTCAACTTCGATTTAAATACTCCCTGTTTAGAATTATTTGATGTTTAAGGTTTTTACACACAGTTTAAGAATTCATTTAATTTTTATTTTCTCTATACTAAAAATATTATTTATAATTCATTTAAATATCATTCAGCCAATAAAAAGACAATCTGCAGAATATAAAAGGTCAAAAACTATAAAAATTCATTAAATTTTGCATTGAAAAGTGAGAACATCAAATAATTCTGAACAAAAAAAACCTTTTAAAACATCAAATAATTCTGAACACAGGGAGTAATTTAATTCTTGTAATTCATAAATCATAAAGTTTAAACTTCTTTTGCTATTTTCTCGGGAAACATTAAATCAAGAAACGAAAAAATATCAAGTTCCGAGGGGTCCAGGAATACATTTGAGTGGGAATAATATTCTCCAATTCATTTTTATGCCTTCCACAATATCATTTTGAGTTTTGGGTGCAACTGCCTCTCATTTTTATGTTTAAATAAATTGGAGAAATCATAAAGAAGCGAAATACATAAAGAAGGATTAAGTTGACAAAGAATAAAAAAAAAAAAGAGGAAGGCTATAGTATTTGTTAATTTATAATTTGGTATTAAAAAGTGTAATTTCGATTGTTGAATTACCTGTTTTAGCATAACTTTACTAGAAGAGTATTATCAAAGATTGTTTTTGATTAAGAACTTGGTAACTAACATTAACAAAACTTCTGATTTGGTTAGCTTGTCCCTTGACATATAGAACTGAACCATATAATAGTATTTTATATTTGCTTAAAATCAAGTTTGGTGAGGAGAGTTAATGAGTTGGGTGGTATAGATGGAGAGGAGACACAAGGGCGTGGAGGATTTATTATTAATGGTTAACAGTAAAACAAATGTTTTGCAAATGACAAATCAATAGGAAATAGGACAAATGTATAACAATTTCTTTGATAATCATAATTAACCTGTGAGATTATTTACAGAACAATCAATTCATGTGATATTACAACAATCTACTTCACCGTGGTGCAATACTACAATTATAATTTTATAAATACCATCCCATCATTTTCTCAGTTTTAAATAATAAGAAAAAGAATGGGAATTATATTTGGTACATAAATTTCCGTCATTTATGTACTCTGCATATATATGGTCACACTTGCACCTGCTCATAATTCTCTCTCTACATTCATTAATTTATCATCTTCAACCTTCCAATCCTCTCTCTCTCTAGAACATGGATAGTCCGACGACCATACGCAGTAAACCACCACCGGAGATTCTCTCTCCGTGCGGTAGCCAACGACGGAGGAGCAGCTGCGACTCAAATTCACCGGAATTCGAGTTCTGGCGTCTAGCAAACTCTTCATTTCATCAAACAGAATCAGATCTCCTCTCCGCCGACGAGCTTTTTCACGACGGTGTTCTTCTCCCGCTCCACCTCCTCTCCATCAAATCGGAGCCTCAACCCGACCCGAATGTCTCGGAATGCGATGCGGATCCATCTCCTTCGCCCGCTGCTTTGATTACAGAGCAAAAACCCGAACCCGGAATAGGATCCGAGCTGACCCGAGAACCGACGGTTTCGAAGCGGTGGAGAGATATATTCAAGAAAAGCGAAAATAAACCGACGGGGAAGAAAGAGAAGGTGAAAGAGAATAAGAAGAAAACCGGGTCGGGTCCGGGTTCGGGCTCGGGAGCGGAGCTAAATATCAACATTTGGCCGTTTTCAAGAAGCAGATCCGCCGGGAACAACGTGACCCGACCCAGAATGTCGTTTGGAGCTCCGACGACCCGGAAAGTCAGCAGCGCACCGTGTTCCCGGAGCAACTCCACCGGAGAATCAAAATCGAGGAAATGGCCGAGTAGTCCCGGTCGTAACGGCGTGCATCTTGGTCGGAGCAGTCCAGTTTGGCAAGTCCGGCGTGGAGGTGGAGCTCCGACCGGAAAACCGATGACAGAGCCGATGGGTCGGGTTGTGGGGAAAAGGGAAATTCCCGAGGGGCGTAGGGGTAAAATGGTAGTTGAGAGCAATAAAGCAAAAGTCATAAATTTGAACGTGCCTATGTGCATCGGTTATCGGAGCCGGTTAAGCTGCAGAAACGACGAGAGTGGAAACAGTAACATTGGGAGTGACAATAATCTTAACGCTAATGTTATCAATCCTAATCCTAATGGTCTATTTGGCTTTCGTAATCTTTTCATTAAGAAAGTTCATTGACTTTTTTTTGTTTCTTTATTTTGTATTATAGTAAGCTTATGAAAAATGTCGATTTGTCAAACCCTCTTAATTCTCAAGGGTCCATTTTTATTTTTTAATCTACTACTTTTGCTGTTAGTACGATGTGTGGTGGATTTGGGCAGATTTTCGTGTTTGCTTATATATCATGTAAATTAAGAAATGCTTTTCATATTAATATTTGATGTAACTACTTTTTGTGGGTTAGTTTCATGATGAACTAACAAGTTTATTTTTACGTATACTTTTCTATCTGTTACAAAACCATTAATTTACTGAAGGTAAATGGTCTTTGGTAGCCTAAAACTTAAATCGTGTAATGAGGAAACAAAATATTAATTTATGGTGAGACGAATTGTGTTATTTTAGTTTACCTCAAGAAAGAAAAAAAATTATTGGGTTTGGGAGAAAGTTAACTATCTAATTCAGTATACTAGACTTTCTCTATTTGTTTCTTTTAAATTTCATGTCTTTGTTGGAAAAGAAACATTAAAAAAAAAAGACAGATTATGTATAAGGGCCCAGCGTGGGTTTAAAAGGCCAGTGGCACCAATGGGCTATGACAAAAAATATAGCAACATTTACAAGTCTAGAAGCTCAGAATTTAATTCCAACTTACAACTTAAACAACTAATTGAATCACACGTGCTCATTTTTTGTGCAAAATATTTTGATCAACATAATTCAAACCCATTAAACAACTCAACCCAAACATTAATGTGATTCTGCTGTATCTACCAACTTTTTGGTCAGTTTAAACAAAACTGCATGTTAATTGTTGACATAGATTACGTATGAAATTGTTGTTTTAGAAAATAAATACACAAATGAGAATCAAACGTTTGCTTTCAATGTACATAAATTTCCGGGTTTTTAAATGTTTGTTTTCATTGTTTGTTTAGAAATTGGATTTGATTTTAGGGTTTTTAAACGTTTGCTTTCAATGTTTGTTTATGAATTGGATTTGATTTTAGGGTTTTTAGAATTTTTTTCAATGTTTGTTTAGGAATTGGAATTTGATTTTGGGGTTTTTAAATGTTTGTTTTCATTGTGTGTTTAGGAATTGAATTTGATTTCAGGGTTTTCAAACATTTATTTTCAATTTTTGCTTAAGAGCTATATATAGGGTTTATATTGCAGTAATCAGAAAAACATGGTAGATCTTCAGCAGGAACTGGACTAGACTGGACTGGACTGGACTGGACTCCTTGAAGAACTTTTTAACTAAATTAATGCAACAAACAAGATGAAAAGATAGAAGGATCGCTTTTGGCGGTTTAGAGAAGATATACTAAAGGAGAGCACACGTATGTTCCTCGTTTGGGATAATACACATGAGAAGGAAATAAACTGAACTATTCCGGATCAAAAATATTAGTGTATATATATATATATATATTTTTTATTTTATTGTGACTCTCATGTTGAATATGAACTAACTGATAATACGTAATAAACATTAGTTATAGCTAATTTGTTTTGAAATATAAGTATAAATTTTGACATTGTTGTATGTGACATTTCCTTTGTTGTCAACAGATTTAATGATTTCTTTTGTTTGTTTGCTTTTAGTCTGTAATTAACAGGATTAATCTAGCTTTATGAATGGAGATCATGACTGGATCAATGGATTGAAATGAAGCGACACTTATTATATACCAAAAAGTATTAATTTTGCTCCAACCATGTGACGACTAGATAAAAAGAGGAACACGACATTTAGTTCTCGTACAATGATAACTAATACTTACGCTACGCACATACCCATGATTAGGATATATATGGATCAATTTTATTTTTGATATTCAAAAGTTAACTTTCAAAAGAGATTTTTTTTTTTATCCACAAACCTAGATTTCACAGTAAAAGCTCACTTAAGCATATTGTGCATATTTGATTTGATTTTGTATTTTGTTACATTTGTGTTACATCACTGGATTCACTCCTAACTAAAAAAACAATAAAAAACATATTGAAGAAAAAAAAACATTGTTAAGATCAACATTATGTATACGTGAAACTTGGCAAGAACCACAGATCTAGAAAATTGAAATGAAGAACTATCAAATGTGTGCAGCAGCTCCGTCTTCATTGTCTTGAGATTAAAGAGAAATATATCATTTGTGTTGTTTTCATTAGTTTTACAAAGTCTTTGTAAATCTAATATTACGATGTAATTATATGGTTATCCAAATACATAAATTACGTTGGCCAAATATTACATGCTCAAGTATCTAGTTGTAAGATCTTACCTTCTTTCAAAAAAACAATTTTCTTTCCGTGACTAAAATAGTGGAAACACGTATGTAAGACCTTTATTTCAAACTCAGTAAGTAATGATCACTAATTAGTGAAAAACACATATGATAAAAGAGATAAAAACAATTTTGAGATCGACCTAATGTATGCGTGAAAATTGGTAAGAACCATCGAGTTCTAGAGGATTGAACTGAAGAACTATCAAATTTGTGCAGCGACTCCATCTTCCTTGTCATGAGATTAAAGAGAAAGTTATCGTTTGTGTTGTTTTCATGATTAGTAACACTGAAATAGATGGAATTTCGTATCAATCCATCAGTTTCGTTGGCGAGGACAGTGATTCCTTGATCCAAAAGCATTGACTCTCCATCTCCCAAAGAATAAATCCGATCGCAATTTTCCACGAATCCTGATGATGAAACGACCTTGAAAACCCGGAAGGACCATTTTCTAGATATCGGTCTCAAAAGTTGCTCAACCTTGAGAACGTCTCCTGTTACTGTGACTACAAGTTTTGTGGCAAAAAGGCGCCAATGATTACTTGGTTTACGAAGTTGCCGACCATGGCAAAACATCTCCACAGAAACACTACGTCGAAAGGTTTCTTGTGGAGTCTCTCCAGAAAAATCGAAGATTCTGAAATCACGAGCACGGTAGCTTAAAAAGTAAAGCTTGTGATCCTTGTAAACCAAGTCACAACACTCTGAAACTACCGGAATTTGATTCCACGAGTTAGCTCCTTTCTTGGAATAAACCACACACCATCTTCCAAGTCCCCATGAAACTACATGATCTTTGGTTTTCTCGTCAATCCAAAACACAGGTGATCATATTCGTATGTGCATACAATGGGACTCCTCTCCGTTGTGACTTGTAATGAGGAACTGATCATCTTTGGTTCGTTGAATCTTTGTCGTTCCGATCTGTGACTCCACAGGAGGTAGATTGATCCTCTCGTAGGTAAAGAGATTCACAATGTAGAGATTATGCAGATTATTTTGCATCAAGAGACAACTTCCATAGGTTGCTATACAAATACTTTTTGCAATTTCCAAACCAAGATCTTGCGTTCTGTAAAGTTTGTCTTTCTCCTCGGGATTGAACAACGTGCAGGAGGAACTGTTGTTGTTGCTGTCTTCGGGTAAGAGAATCAGCCAAGGGATATGATTATTTTTGGGCACGCATTGTCTCGAAGCAGAGTACCACGACGAACATACAGATTTTGCTCGTTGGAAATTGGCAAAGCTTAGGCGTTCGAAAACCGAATTCAACAGATCTAGTGGAAGATCGGACCAAGATTTGGATGTATCTTGTCTGAGACACTCGTGAGATTCCGGGTTATGCTTCTTCTTCTCCATGGCAAATTGAAAGAGAGATTTTATTAAACGAAGACTATAAGATGTAATGCCTTGCCTCAGAAGTTCCCGTCTTAATCCAACCTAAACTAGGTCTGGATTGGTAATGACGCGTTAGGTTTTTTATTGACTTCATCAATCGGCCCAGTCATTATAGCCCACAAGTATTCTTATGCTTAAAATTTATCTTTTTGGCTTCTTCCTTTTGCATAAATTTTACCTAGTTTTTAGAAGAGTTAGTAAAAAAATTGAATGAGTAATTGAAACAAATTTTTTTATAGTTCTAGAAAAATCACATTTTGGAAAATATTTGGATGACTAAAAATAATGCTTTTCTAGAAACATATCTAAAATTTGTCACATCAAACTTTGCCAATTTATTATTTACTGGGCGAGGACAAGACAGTGTTTTATTAATTAGTTTGAAGATATGGTCGTGAGAGATGTTTTCATGAAGGTATACTAACTAGTAAGGCAAGTCACGAATCGGTTAGAACACCAAGAATTAAAAAAATGAGAAAATGAGAAAATGAGAAACTCTTAAGAAACCGATGGAAACTCTCCTTACACTTGTTATTATATGATATTGAGATACATTTCAATTAAATATTATTATAATTTGTGTTACATTTGAATTTATGTTTACACTTAAATTGAAAAGCTCAAGTTGAGAAACTCCAATTATGATGCTCTGACCAATGTTTGGAATATAGTGTTAAGTCACGAATCGTCCACTAAAGCCTTTTTAAAGAAATCTAGTGCAAAATTAATTTGGAAAGGAACATGGCATTTAGTTATCGTCAGTACTACCTACACATACCCACGGTTAAGGATAGACATCAATTTAGTTTTTCATGTTAAAAAGTTTAATCTTTCTGAAGAGCTTTTGTTTATACTATAAACACGTAAATTCCACAGCAATCGTTCGCTTAAGCATATTGTCTTGTACACATTTCTCTTGATTTGTAAATTTAACCTTTGTGTATATATACATCACTTTTAGTTTAACTAAAACAACTAGCACGTAATCATCATTAGTTAGAGTACAACAACATATTGCTAATAAAACATATATATTACTGAAGAGGAAAACATAGTTGAGATCAATCATGTTTGCGTAAAACTTGGTAAGAACCATTGAGCTCTAGAGAATTGAACGGAAGAACTATCAAATTTGTGCAGCGGATCCATCTTCCGTGTCTTGAGATTAAAAAGGAAGATATCATTTGTGTTGTTTCCATGACTATGACTGAAATAGATAGAATTTCGAATGAATGCATCAGTATCATTGCCGAGGACAGTGATGCCTTGATCCAAAAGCATTGACTCGTCTCCCAAAGAATTAATCCGTTCGTGTGTCTTCACGAGTCCTGACGACAAAACCTTGAAAACCCGAAAGGACCAGGTTCTGGACCTCGCTCTCCATATTTTTTCAACCTTGAGGACTTCTCCAGTCACTGTGACTACAAGTTTTGTCGCAACAAGGCTCCATGGATTGCTTGGTTGACGAAGTACTAACCGAGGTATTTGCACACTAACACCACAATGAAATGTTTGTAGTGGAATCTCTCCAGAAATATCGAAGATGAAGAAACAACCAGATGCAGAGCCAATCGCCGGAGTAGATGCGTTCGTGGGTGGCCCAATCGGAGAAGTTAACCATGGGGTTCCAAGTGTATAGTCCGCCACCTACTCTGTGAAGAGTACTTGATCCTACCCCAACTATCATCATCACTGTTACATAGATTAACGCCCATAAGTTTCTTCTCCCCATCTTATTGTGGCTAAATTTGTGTTCTTGAATGGATTTTGTTTTTTAAAATATTTTTTGTTGAAATGTCTTCTGTTATTCTTGAAATATGGGTTTGCCTGGTTATTATGTATATATAGCGGAGGAGCTTGAATTTTAGCGTGAGTTATAAATATATGCATCATGCATGAACCCCAAACTGCCAAACACTGTATATGTATGAGCTTTGTTGTTTTTTTGGGTCAACATGCATAAGCTTTGTTCACAAAACTCTTTTACTTTTTGTACTTTTTTCTCTCATTATTTTGTTAACACTTTAACCTTTTGGACGGTTAAAGAACCACTTTTCCAAACAAAATTCGTCGAAAAGGTTTCCATTTTTTTTTCTTGAATGGGTTTGTTTGGCTATTATGTGCATTAACCCTAAAACATTGTATATGCATGAGTTTTGTTCAAACACCTTTTTGATCTTTTTCTGTTTTTGTTTTTTTCTATATATATTAATTGAGGGGGAGAAGGTGAAAAACCACTATATATCAAAAACTGTTATAACACATATCATATATGGACTATTATACCGGCCCATTAGGCCCATCAGGGCATTATACTTAACCTAGATTCCCTATGTACTCTATATATACATTCCAGTGATTAATAAAGTTTCTAAGTTTTCACAACACGTTATCAGCACGATAAGACTCTCTGAGCGAAAAACCCTAATAAATCCGGCCACCACCAAAACCCTAAAAGCAAGTCGAAACTTAAAAGACGCATATCTTCCAAACCGTGAGGAACCAGAAGACGATCTACATATCAAATCGAAGCCCTCGACGAGACGAATCTACTGGTGAAAACCGTTTGTCGATCCAACGTCGGACGCGCCCTCACGCACACTTACAGTACACGACGATCAACCGAAAAAAAAAAAACCAGATCCGAGTTTTTCCTTCTTCAACCAGCAGCTTCTCCAGTTTTGGTGATCAATCCTTGGAATTTGTAGCGGCTAACTGAGGTCTATTAGCTCCCAGTTTCATTAGCCTGTCAGAAATCCAAAGGTGGAAAAGGTATCTTCTAAAACTGAGAGCCATAGAACCTGTTGTTTAAACACTTCAAAACCCTATAAAAAAAAAAAAAAATCGATCTCTAATTGATTGAAAGTGTTTGATACTCTGATGATTGATTGATAACTTGTTGATTGATTGTTTAAATTACAAGTTTATGCATGTTCAAAGGTTTTAAACTCGTTTTATAAAACCCTAATCTACAAAAATCTAACAACCGTTTTTGGCCATGTTTATGGCATAAACCTATTCGATTTTTTTCATGTTTAATAAGCTTGTTGCAGCTTATTTGATTGTTGATTCTCTTGCTTGAAACACTTGATTGAATAAACTAAGAAAATCAACCCTAAATCCTAAGCTTGATTCACGATTTTGTAATCTTCAAAATCGTAAGTCATAATGCTTAAACCCTAGTCCTTTTCACGTGATTTCTTTGTTGTCCTTGTGAAATTATTAAAACCATCGACCACAGATCCTATAGATCTCGAAATCACATCCAAAATATGTTTTCCAAACCGTTAAAACCCTAGATAAAACCCTAATCATATTCGGCTCCCCTAGGGTTCCTCCTAAACCGCCTAAAACCGGCTAAACCTGGTTCTCATTAACCGAAATTATATTCGGCTTTAACCGATTAAATCACAGCTATTAAACCGACATCATGTTCGGGGTAACTAAAACCATACCCTTTAAAATTTACTATTTCCGAGAAAGTTCCCTCTAATAGAAAGTTTCCTCATATAAAAAATTTCCTCATATAGAAATTTTCCCGACATAAAAACTTTCCTCATTTAGAAAATTACCCAAATTAGAAACTTTCCAAATTTAAAAACTTTCCTAAAATAGAAATATTCTCAAAATAGAAAGTTTCATCATCAGCATTCAAAATTTTCTCAAAACAATCCCTAACAAAATCAATCTCATGTTTCAGATGTCAAACATTCAGAAATGTGAATTCGAGGCCCTTCACGTCTCCGGGGATAACTACCTCGAGTGGGCCCTAGACATGCGCTTGTTCCTCGCATCGAAAGAACTCGATGCGTGTATTACCGACGGTAACACCGCATCCCGTAAGGGACAGTCTCAGGCGATATGTCACATACGCCATCATCTGGCCCCGAGCCTTAAGCAGCAATATCTCACTCTTGAGAATCCACTTGAATTGTGGCAAGCGCTGAAAAAGCGATATGACCATCAGAAAATGGTCCAGTTGCCTCAGGCAGATTTCGACTGGAAGAACCTTCGGTTCCAGGACTACAAATCCGTAGATGATTACAACAACGAACTCTTTCGTATTGTTGCCATCCGGAAACTCTGTGGCGAGGATGTGACAGATAATGATCTCCTCGAGAAAACATTATCCACATTCAGCACAGAGAATGTTGTGCTCCAACAACAATACCGTGCAATGAAACACACATTGTACGAAGACTTGTTGTCCTGTCTTCTCCTCGCTGAGAAGAATAACCAGCTGCTTATGAGGAACAGCGCTATGAGGCCCCCGGGATCGGCTCTTGTCCCAGCTTCTCGTCAAGAGTCCTACCATGTTCAACCCGATAGATCCTCAGATCACCGCCGTGGACGTGGTAATGGACGTGGTAATGGCCGAGGACATGGACGTGGAAGACGTGGACGCGGACATGGTCGTGGCAACCGACCTAACCTCAGTTATGGTCCTGGTCGTGGTCGAGGCATCACCAAGCCGACCCGCCACACCAACCCCGATCACTCTGCTTGTACCAGATGTGGGATGTTCAACCACCCAACAAAGCAATGTCGCACCCCCAAGATCCACTGCGATCTATACCAGAAGTACGGAAAAGCTCCTGCTGAAGCCAACATGACTCAGCCAGTCGATGCTGCTAACCTGGAAGGTGACGACCTCCTTGATGATGAGAACACCACAAACGAGCAGACCGACCCCATGGACTATGAAACAGCTGATCTCCTCGATTAATTCAATCATCTGAAACTCTGATACAATTTGATTTTGTTCTTTATTTTTTTCATTTTGGGATTTGTTTCATTTTTTTCCATTTGCCTTTATTCTCAGACACTGCTTTATTTTATGATTTATCACATTTTCTGAATTCCTCAATACTGAATTCTATCTTCTATTCATAATAAAGCACACCAGCAAATGGAAACCATAGTCGTAGATAGTGGATCCAGCCACACTATCTTAAGAAACA